CTCCTCTTTCTAAGATTTTTACCAATCCTAACATCAGGTGTGTTTTCCAAAGCACAGTTTATTTTTTTTTTAATAGATATTTAATTGCAGTGGCCACACAGAATTCGCAAACAATACTCATAACCATGGGACTTTTCAGGGAAGTAACAGGTTAAAATTTAGGATCAAGAAAGACTTAAGATATAGTTCCTCAGGATAGACTTCTCATAGCTATGGCTGCTGCTTGGTTTCTCCCTTGCTTTAGGCCTCTTGTTCTCAAGCTCCACAGACTGACAGCACTTCAGCTCTCCTTGGACTATCTACAGAGGTTTTTAGACTCACCAGTAATTACCCAGAAGTTTCCTACTTGAGGTGACTCAGCTTTCTTATCCCATGGAGTGGGAAGCCCACTGAGCCATCTCCCGCTTTCTGCTGCCAACATTTCTCTGCCTGTAGTTCTTACTGTCTCTAGTTGTCTCTGATGTTACAGCTATGTCTCCTGAATAGAAGGTTGCTAGGTAAGGAACTCTGGGCATGCTTCACACCCATCTCTTCTTGTTGGTGGTAGTGATCTGGCCAACTCATGGTGTGGGATTAACTAATTTTTAATGTCTAGAAACATAGAAAAGCCAATTGTCCCCTGACCACAGAGCTTATTCTTGCATTATTTGCAAAGTATAAAATTTTGCTGGTATACTACAAGCACTTTATGTCCACAGTCCCACTCAATCATGGAGGTGTGATTGGAGGCATTAACAAAGCCACGGCTAGAGATACCATATGTAAAAAGAGCAAGGGCCATGTGGTGACTGCCATGTCTGACCTTTGCCAACTTTACAAAGGGAAACTATTCCTGTCAGAGCATTTAGGATCTACATCCACAAGTAAAGTGCAGCCAAGAGCAAGTCTGATCACATAGTAGCAATCAACACTAGCTCACAGCATGGAACATCTTCTTGAGTTCTGGTCAACTTATCTCAAGCCGTCCATGGCTAGGTCCAAAAGGGCATCAGCTGCAAACGCAGCAGTCCTCACTTCTTCTTGTGTTCCAGGCTGACTTTTCGCTTCACTTTGCCAAAGCCCCTATATGAGGCCAGGCAGGACAGGGGGTCCTCATGACTTCCTACTTCTCAAAGCCAAGAACCCCTTTGTGCTTATTCGTTTATCTGTGTGTGATAGGTTAACAGTGCTAATGGAACTCATCCAAACTCAGCCTGTCTCTTCATTGCTGCATGCTTCTTTTTTTTAATTTTAATTTAGTTTGTTTATTTTTCATTTCAATGAACATCTACAGAGATTTTGGAATTCCATTCATTCATTGTTGCACCCTTCTCCCCGCACAAACCCCTCCCCCCCCT